GAATGGTAGAATAGAAGCGGTAAAAATGAGCTTTGCCATTATTTAAACCAATATATATTGTTCAAGCCATTACTCAGTACACAATGTACAGAAACAACCTAAATGTCTACTGACAGACGAATGGATAAAACAAATGTGCTATATCCACATATTGGAATATGATTCAGCCTTAAAAAAGGAGAGATCCTGCCATTTGTAATAACATGAATGAATCTTGAGGACATTGTACTAAGTGAAATAAGCCTTCAGAGAAGGACAAATACTACATGATTCCACCTACGTGAGGTATTTAAAATGATTTAACTCATAAAAACAAAAAGCAGAATGGTGGCTTCCAGGGGCTGAGGGTGGGGAGAGGCAATGGGAATTTGCTGTCAAATGCATAGAAAGTTTGGGTTATGCAAGATGAATAGCGTCTAGAGATCTGTTCTACACCACATTGTGCCTGTAGTTAACAATGTCACATCATGTAATGAAAGGTTTGTTACAATGATAAAAAAGACTTGATACAGTTCCTTAAATTTTTTACTTTAAAAAATCTGACACAGAAAAATAATTTAAATGTAACATGTAATATGCAATGTATTCACATGTATAAAATATAATATGACATAAAATATATTACAATCTTTTTTTTTTAATTGGTACTAGGGATTGATTCCAGGGATGCTCCACCACTGAGCTACAGTCCCAACCCTTTTTTATTTTTATTTTACTTATTTCACAACTCATTAAGTTGCAGAGGCTGGCCTCAAATTTGTGATCCTCTTGTCTTAGCCTCCCTCATTGCTGGGATTATAAGTATGCCCCACCATGCCAGGTGAAAACCTTTAATTGCATCCCTTGTCTTCCCAAGTTGTGTCCTTAATCTGCTGTTTATCCTTCCACTATCTTTCTTTATTCTTTCACTGTATAAAAAGTATTTCAATACATTTTTTTTTTTTGGTACCAGGGATTGAACTCAGGGATGCTCAACCACTGAACTCCATCCTCCGCCCTTTTTATTTTTTTGAGACAGGGTCTGGCTAAGTTGCCCAGGCTGGTGCCAAACTTGCAATCCTCCTGCCTCAGCCTCCTGAGTTGCTGGGATTACAGATGGCACTACCCACCTGGCTAATACATAAAACTTTTGCATGTTTTAAAGTCTCTACATCATAACAAATTTATTTTCTAGCCATCTGTTTCTTTACTCACCATGTTTGTGAGACTCATCTATCTTAAGTATGGACTTATTTTCACCAGTGCGTAATATTCCACTCTTTACATATATTTCTGCATCTATTCTTCTGTGGTAGACTGTTCCCAATTTTCTGCTAAATATTCTATTCATGTCTCCTGGAGTATATGTAGAAGAGCAGGGAAATGGCCCTCAGCTCTCCCAGAACCCTGCTGTTATGTGGTGAACTTTAAAATTCCTCATGTTAAGACTGCTTCCAAAATTAAACCAGAATTTCTTATAGTGGATCTGGCAGGAATGCATTTAAACCTTCCCAGGTGATTTCAATGAGCAGCCAAAGGTGACAACCACCACTGGAGACCAGGGTGATCAAGGCATGGCCTCCCACCCTGTGCATTCCCTGGAAGAGTGTTAAGGTGCACTCTCAGCTGCTCAGCCAGTGAGGGGAATCTGGGTGTGATGTAATAGTACATGCTTACTTGTTAGTAGGTGCTGTCAATCAAATTCACCTAGGCTGCACAGGTCACAGTGGCAGGGAGGTGCCATGTTTCTGTGCTTGCCTTTAGTTCTAGGAAATACCCTTTTATATTTTCTGACCTATTTTCCTTTAATTTTTTTTTTTTAGTTTTGATAGACCTTTATTTTATTTATTTATATGCGGTGCTTAGAATCAAACCCAGTGCCTCACACATGCCAGGCAAATGTGCTACCACCAAGCCCCAGCCCCAGCCCCTATTTTCCCTTTCTGTGGTATGGGGGATGGAACCCAGGGCCTCTTGCATGCTGGGCAAGTTCTCTACCACTGAGCTACATGCACAGCTTCTTATTTAATTTTTAAAACTGATGCATAACATAAAATTATGCATATTTATAAGGTACCATTTGATTTGCATATACACTGTGTAATGTTTGAATCAGGGTGAGTATATCTCTTCAAATATTTATCATTTCTTTATGATGAAAATATTCAAAACCTTTTTTTTCTAAGTTCCCGCCTCCCCAGTTTTGTGGTACTAGGGATTCAACTCAGGAGCCCTGTACCACTGAGCTGCACCCCAGCTTTTATTTTTCATATTGAGGCAGGGTCTTTCTAAGTGGCTGAGGCTGGCCTTGAACTTGCGATCCTCCTGCCTCAGTCTACCAAGTTGCTGAGATGATGGGCGTGCACCACCATGCTGGCTTCTTCTACTTTTTAAGAATCCATAGTAGGTTATGGTTGCCTATAGTCACCCTACTATGCAATAGAACCCCAGAACTTCTTGCTCCTAACTCTAAGTTACTACCCATCTAGAAAACATTTAATAATTTTCTCTTCTTTGCTTTCTGTTTCTCCCTTTGAAGTTCCTATTAGTTGGAAGTGGAACCTTCCGTCCGTATTGATCATTCTTTTTGGTTGTACATTGTTCTTGACTTTTTTTTTTCTCTCAATGCCAAGATGTTTTATAACTTGCTGGAACGCGGGCCAGACCAGCAGACCTTTTTCCTTTTTTTACATTTTTTTTTAATTTTTGTATTTTACTTTCTGGGAGATTTTCTTTGTTCTCACTGCCCATCCCTCTCACATATTTTCAAATTGTTGGTCTCAACTGTGTGTACTGGTGCACGCCTCTAATCCCAGACACTCAGGAGGCTGAGGCAGGACGAGTGCAAATTTGAGGTCAACCTCAGCAACTTAGGGAGAACCTGTTTCAAAATGAAATAAAAAGTTTGGGGAAGTAACTCAGTGGTAAAGCACCGCCTGGGTTCAGTCCACAGTATCCATCCTCCAAAATGCTATTTTACTTTTAATTTTCAAGAGCACTAATACTTCCTTTAAAAAAATATCTTTTTTGTTTCACAGGTGCAATAGCTTCAGAGGACTCTCCGGACTCCCATCTCCTGTGGATTGGAAGCTCTGCTTTCAGTTATGGGACTCAGTCGACTCCTGGCTGCCCTTGGCTGCTCACACTGTGAGTGAAACATGACAGCCCCCGCCCCCCCATGTGGACAGAGTATGTGAACGAGGAGCCTCCCAGTGGTGACTGGGTAGAGACCCATTGTTAGACTGGAGGGACCCCCCCAGTGTCAAATCTGTCCCTGTGTCCTCTTTGATCAGTTTCCCAGAGAGAAATTCAGTATGCACTGCCCCTTGGGGGTAGGTGGGGGGGGGACTAGGTTTTGAGAGTGAAGGTTTCCCATTGACCATTCCCCATCCCAGGACAGCACCTCCCTGCCGCCTTTGGCTGGCCTGGGCTCTTGAATCCAGAATCTTTCTAGTTCAACTTCAGCCATCAGTAAACTTGTCCTCTGCCAGGGTTAGGGAAGAGTGGTCATGAGGTAGGTGAGCCGCTTTTATTTATTTATATATTTTTTGGCCCTGCTGGGGATGGGACCCAGGGCCTCCCACGGGCTAGGCCAGCACCGCCTAAGCGGCACCCCCTGCCCGTTTAACCACTTCCTTCTACCGGTACCATTTTCACACCCATCCCGAACATCCACCCGAGGGATACCCAGTCCCTCCACGTTCTGAGCATCTGGGGGATTCTGCAGAGCAAGAGGGCTTGTTCCTCAGGGCTTCCTCCCTTATAGGTGTTTTGGAGCAGGAGAGCCGACACGAGACATCGTGCTGTCCTGTCGCCCAGAGGTCTCCAGCCCCCTTGTCCCCTGCCCTCCTGTCTCCTGTGCCTTTTCTGTGGTTTGTGCCATTTTCATTGCTGGATGTCATTTCAGTGGGCTTCTGGAGGACAGAAGTTTTTGTCCACTTAAAAAAAAATTGATTACAGATGAACATATACATCTGATATAAATCTGAATAACTTTTTTTTTTTTTTTACATAGATGACTTTTTTCTCCCCATTCAACATTATTAGCTTCGTGAACTCTTGTTCCACACCTCGATCTGGCTCATTTCTTTTAAACCAATGTGACCACATTTCTCCCCCCGCCCCCATCCGTTTCTCTCCTAATGCATCTCAGAAGCACAAACCTTGTGGTCTCTGGATCAACACTGGCTTAATGCAAATTCTAATCTTTATTGTTTTCATTCTGAAGCGTAACAGGTCACAGGGGAACAAGAGTTTTACCGTCTGCCAGCAGCAAGGGCAAAGAGCTGATGGTGGGGGACACGAGGGCTCCTGGCCTGCAGACAAGGAGGCCCCTGGAGAACCGGGTGCCCGGGAAAGGAGGGCAGGGTGTGGACACTCACGCACACAAACACACAGGCTTTTCCAAAAGCATTTGCCTGCATTTTGTGTATTTTTCATGCCAAACCAAACCTACTGAAGAGAAGTGAATTGTGTCTTTGGGGAGTCTCCTGCCCGGGCTGAGAGCACCCTGGGGAGGCCAATGGGGGGTTCAGAGAAACCTAACAAGGAGCCCGATTTCAAGCCAGCCCCAGGGGAAGACAGGACACTGTTTTTGCCTCCCTGGGAGCTGAAGCTGGGGGAAGGGGTAGACAGATCTCTCACCCCACCTGCTCTGGGCTCGGGTCTTTGCACCTTGAAGGGCCAAGCTCAGTTTGAGGGGGGACGCTCAGGGTTGTATTTCTTCTTGCTATAAATATAAATATGGAGAAAGGCCCATGTAGCTTCCTGCTGAAACTTCAGTGCATATGGGAAGGCCCTTCCAGCCCAACCCGAGACCCAAGCACACTTAAAGATGGGTCAGACTGGGGGGTGGGGACAGGGGTGGGGGGACAATAAATAAAGGTCAGTGACGGAGCAGGCTGGTGGGTGGGGAGTGGTAGAGGAGGAGCGCGCCTTGGCAGTGGAGGGGTGCAGAAAGGCACTGGGTGTGGGTTAAGCAGACTCAGCCCCCAAACACTGGTTAGTTGAGTCAGAGGTCCTGGCACTGGGGTGGCTGGTGAGAGCTCAGGAACTGGCCAGGAAGGAGCTGGGAAGGCCTGGCTTGTGCTTCCTTCCTCTCTCTCAAGATCTTCCACTGGAAAGTCTGCTCCATGCATCCAAGTCCCAGAAGCCACATCAGTAGCGGGGACTCGCCCGGGGGTGTCTTTTGCCTTTGGAGGAAAGAGAAAAAGACCAGTGCACAGTGAGCAGACATGGATTCCCTCCTCAGGGACAGCTCGACCTCTGGGAACGAAATAGAGGTGAAGGCAGCCTCCTCACCGGAACCGTCCCTGCCCCTGAGGCTGCTGCCCAGTGACCTCAGGATGTCAGAAGGAGCCACGGATGTGGGAACAGAAATTCTCTCCTAAGCCAGTGCTTTCCACATTGTTTCTGAAGCCCTGAACCCTCTCTGTGCCCTGGCTGCGTCTGGACATTTCCTGAGGACCGACTCAGGGCCGGCAGTCCCCAGGGACCCTGGATCTCACCTTCCCCACAACCCCATGAGGGACACTTTGGTGATAACGGGATTGTGGAGAGAGTCTGCTGGTGACTGACTGTTTTTGACCTACAAAACCACAGTTTCACTTGGTTCAACCTGATGGTTTGCCCAGATTCACATGGTCATGGGTGGTGGGTTGGGCCTAGAGCTTGGGCCTGCTTCATTCCAAACTGACCTCTGTGGAGGACTTCAGGAGGCTAGAGGGAGGGGACAGGGTCTATTCCAGGAATACAGATGCCTGCATTCCCTGGAGACCTGCCCACCACTGCCCCCCCCCCCAAATGCCCTGGGAAGGCTCCAGAAGAGGGAGGAGGGAGGGACAAAGGGAGGGTCCTGGTGGGTGGCTGCTGGGCTGCGCTCAGGCTCCTGGAAGGAGACTCCTGACCTGCTGCCAGGAGATCAGCTGCTGCCCTGGGCACATGTGCCTGCGGGTCTCTGACCAGGGAGGTGCCCAGTTCAGTTAAGGCTTCTTCTTAAGGGAGCTGGGCCACCTGCAGGTGCAGTTTCTCATGAGAAGTGCCCCCCCCCACTACATGAGGATTCTGGGCAAGGCCAGGGCCAGGGGGTTGGGCTCCTTAGATAATTGCCCTTACCCCCTGTGCCCGGTTTCCACTGCTATCAAATGGGGACAGTAGGGCTCCCAACTAATCTGTCAACAGAATGGAAGTTGACCTTGGAGGAGCTGGGGCAGGCTGGGCTGTGGGTCCCTGGTTCCAGCACCCCGGGATCTCAGTCCTAGGATCTGGGCAGCTCTGGATGTCCTGGGAGGCTGGTTCAGCTTCCTCCCTCATGGGGCAGGTTTCTGGAGAGCAAGGACTGACCAGAGTCCCCAGTCCCTGGCCAGGCTGGCACATGACGGGGCTTGGTGAGAAGTGGATGCCTAGCACAGAGTGGGCACAAGGTGGGGTTCCTATTCGTGTTTGGAGATGGGGAAAGGCTTGGACAGATTATGCATTTTGTGACGTAGAGGTTGGTAACAAGCATTGCTAAATTTATTGACGGGGTGGTTGCTATTATTTTGGGTTCCTCTCTCTGGTCAGGGGAGCGGGGGTAGGGGGTGGATCTGGCTTTTTGCCCCAGTGCCTGGTAAACATCAAGAACTAAAAAACTGCAGTTTTGGAGGAGGGAATGAAGAGGGGACAGAAGAGGGGGAAGGTGGTGGTTAAGTGGGAAGGTGCAGCGGGTACTCACCGGGGCCCTTGGGCTCAGGCCAGGGTGGGGCGCCCCCCTGCGGGTCTGCAGAGCCCCCCCCAGTCTCACTGGCCAGGCTGCTCTGGCTTCCCGAGAGGAGGCTGGGCGGGTGGGTCAGCCCCATCCTAGGGGACTCCGTGCTGCCACCTGCAAGGACCACAGGCTGTTTCTCACAGCAACAAGCCACCGACAGGAAAAGTCACAATCATTAGTTTTTCCCGCCTTCCTAGGATGAGGGTGTGTGGTGGGGAGAAGGGTGTGTATTTTGGCTAACCCAGGAGGGAGAGGGAGAGGGAGTATGCTGTCTTTAGTCACCAAAGAATCCTCCAATATGGTGGTTAGTTCTTGCCTAGCTGAGAGCAGAAATGGAGCCTGTAACACTTCACCCAATCCTTTCCTGTCTCCTAGTCCTAGCTGGGAGTGGGTGTGAAGGGAGAGGATGGGAATCCTCACGGTAGGAGGAAGGAGGAGTGTGGAAACCAAGGTGGCATGGGTCTTTCCTTTACACTTTTTTTTTTTTTTTGGTGCTGGGGATTGAACCCAGGGTGCTTAACCACTGAGCCACATCCCCAGTCCACCCCCCCTTTTTTTTTTTTAATTTAGAGACAAAGTCTCACCCAAGTCATTTAGGACCATGCTGAGGCTGGCTTTGAACTCACGATCCTCCTGCTCAGCCCCCCGAGCCACTGGGATGACAGGTGAGCATCATGGTGCCTGGCTCCTTTACAATTTTTCTAATGAAGAATTTTGGGGGGTGGGGTTGTGGCTCAGCGGTAGAGCACTTGCCTAGCATGTGTGAGGCCCTGGGTTCCGATCCTCAGCACCACATAAAAATAATAAATAAAGGTCTTGTGTCCAACTACAACTAAAAAATAAATATTAAAAAAAAAAGAATTTTGGGGGCCAAAGGGGCTGAATCTAGGGCAGTTTTTATCTTTTGCCATCATCTCTGCCAATTGATATTGACCACTTGGAAAACTGTACTGAGAACTCTAAGTGCCTAGCAGGGCTCAGAGAATCATGATCAATGAGTACTGTGATATGGACACAGGACTGAGAGTGGTCAAAAGAGCGCCAGGCATTTGCCATCTCTGATCTAACCGAAACTTCCATAGAGGACAGATCATCTAGTCTTAGCTTCGGGATGGCACCCCAAGGCATTTCATTCCAGTCTGGGGTAGTTACTATACAGCTAGCACATGCATTCTCTCTCTCTCTCTCTCTCTCTTAAATGGTACATGAAACTCAGCCTTCCTGAAACTTCTTTCAAATATCCTACTTCTCAGGCTGGGTTGTGGCTCAGTGGTTGGGTGTTTGTCCTGCATGTGTGGGGCACTGGGTTTGATCCTCAGCACCACATAAAAATAAATAAGTAAAAATATATTGTGTCCATCTACAATTAAAAAAAAAAATCCTACTTCTCACCTGGGAATATGTCTGAATGGAGCGTCTCCTTTTTCAGGAAGTTCCTTTGTGTGTTTCAAGGGAAGGCGGAGGCCTTTCCTTACCTTTCTAGGGCACGCTCTGCTTCTACCTCAATGCTGCGGTTAACCCTCTGTTACATGACAGAGTCACAGAGGTGAACTCAGCCATGTCAAAATCAGAGGAAACTTTGGAAACCACCTTCTCTGTCTCCCACGGGCTAAAGAGAAGGAAGTGTCACCTGGAGGCAGTGGCACATATTGGGAACCCCACTGTGAGCATGGGAGGAATCCCAGGGTCAAGGTGGAGGGTGTGGCCTGGCTGGCCCTGCCTCTTGTCCCAAGCCCCAGCAAATACAGATGAGCCTGGCTCCACGCCCTGCTCTTCAGTGCTGCTGAGATTTAGCTTCTAGTGGGCCCAGCCCCAGGTCCTCCCTCACCCCCATTTATAACAACCAGATGCCAGCCTCAAAGCTGCCATCTAAGGAAGTGGCAAAGCCACTCGGCACCGGGGGCTTTAGAAACAGTGTTATAACCCACACTTACCTGATTCCCCCACGAGCTTGTCACCTTTGGTGTTCCTGACCCCAGTGGGTGGGAGTCTGTCCTCCAGGCTGGAGGAGCTGAGATCGGAGTCACTGTCACTGTCGCTGGAAACCACTGGAAAAGACAGACATGGACAGAGGGGGTCACCCCTGTGGGCCGCTGCTTGGATAGAAGGGACCAGAAAGGTTCCCTCCTGCCATGACAGTGTGGTGTAGAACCTTGGGGATTCTTCTGCTAAGGAGGTGAGTCCTGGTGTGAGGAGTTGGGATGTGGACCAAACTCATCCAGAACTAGCAGGGAGGGCTCGCCCCTTGCCCAGCCATCTCCACATGTGGCGGAACCGGAACCCGCCTGGAACCCGCCTGCCTGGTAGAAGCTGATTATCCCCTTTGGTGCAAAGGTCTAAAGGCAAAAGGTGACACTCTGCAGGGATGAGAATCAGGTCACAGCTGACCTTCACACAGCTTCCCAGGACTTTACATATGAATTCATGGGAACTTCAAAACAACCCTGTGAGATAGGAGATCTCATCATCCCATCTTACAGATGAGGAAACCGAGGCATGTGCCCCAGGTAGTAAGTGGAGGAGCTAGGATCCTAGTCTGGGCAGGCTGGCTCCAGGCCTGTGCCGTGACCACTCTGGTTCCACTGGAAGAGCAAAATCAGGAGCCAGAGGGCCTGGCTTCTCATTGCATTCTCTCCCCTTGTGCATGCAGAAGGAGCCGCTGGGCGGGGGTGGAGTCCCAGGAGGGCGAGGGAGGGAGCACTCCCGGTGAACAGTCTCTTCTGCACTCGGTGAGACCATATTTGGCTGGTTCATCAACAGTGGGCGTCATAATACAGAATATATTCATCCTTTAAACACTCTATTTTAATTTTAAACATAGAAATATACATCCATTTGCCAACCTTTGGCGGCAGGCCTTGGCGCTTCTCTGAGGCTGGGCCTACACGGCCTTCCCTGTACAAACCACATCCGTGCGGCCTTGTCTCAGTCTCCAGCTTTGGTTTCTTAAAAGCAGAGCAAGAACTCAAAGACACCGACTGGGAAAGCAATCTGACTGCAGAGTCTTCTCTATTTTCCCCTTTCTTCCTCTTGTTTCTCACAGTTGTCTGCCCACACCTAATTCAATAGATTTTTTTTTTTTCCCCAAAGCAAGTTGCTTCCATCAAGACTTTACAAGATCTTGGTTTTAATGAAACAGCTCTGATCTCTTTTCATCAATTTACATAACGTTTAATTAAGTGATATAAGGATAATAAGTACAAATGACAGAAACCAGCTCTCCCAGGTGACAGGACTCAGCGGATGGGGTGGGATTCCAAGGTGTGTGTCTGTCTGATTTACTTTGAAATGCAAAATGCTGGTCACAGAGGGAGGAGAGGAGGAGAGGCACTGGGCTAGGGGCTTAGCAGGCAGATTTTACACAGTCTTCTCCCAGCCCTGAGCTGTAGGTACACATTGGTAGGAGATAAGATTAGAAACAGAATTGATCTGTACCAACGGAAGCTAATAGTTTGATCTGCCAAGCCCTGTCTGGAGAAGCCTGTGGAGAATTCTGAGACTGCATTAGAGTTCAGCAGGAGGAAGCGCCTGGTCATTTAGGGAAATCCACTGCGAGTCCAGGAGGGGGAGATGGCAGCTTCCACGTGGATCTAGAGCCTTCTGGAAAGTCTGTGCGACTTTAGCCTCTGTCATCTTTCAGCTAAGGGAGTCACAGGTCACAGATGCAAGCAGCCAGAAGGTCAGGGCTGGGCTGACCATTTTGGCTGTAAGAGATGGCATACAGTGGGTGCTTCATGGAGGGAGCATGACAAGGCAGTGCTTGCCTCTGTCATCCTCATGTCCTGCCAATTGCACCATGAAAATGGATCTTGCATCAGTTGCCTCCTTACCATCAAGGTCTTAGTTCCTCCAGCTGAGACACCAGTGACAAGGTCCCAGCAGGGCCCCACCTGCAGGTGCCTCCCTGTCAGATCTCCCTCTGCACAGCTGAGGACGTGCCAGCTGCCCCCTCTTTAAAGGCCAAGCTCCTGTCCACCAATGAGACCACATGGATCTCCTTTCTGTGGCCGGCCCGTGGAGTAGGGTGAGCCAGGACCCCGTGGCTGTTCCCAGTTTTTCCTTCTTCTGTCTGCTCAAGGATCCTGCCCTTTTCTTCTCTGGTTTTTCCCCTCTGCTGCCTGCCAGGGAGACTTCTTTGGTTTCTTAAGTCTTTTGTGATTTAGAACCAAGGGGGTCCACCCGCCCCTTCCCAGTACCTGAGCAACCTGACAGACCTCGGTTGCTTTTCTGGTCCTGGATTGAGCAGCTTTGAGCATGAATCCGCCGAGGCTGGACCTCCTGGGCGGGCGTCAGAAGCATTTGCGTAGTTTTGACTCATCTCCTGACTGACTAAACGCCAGTCCTGTGGGTCCCTGGACAAAGCAGGTGGGAGGAGGTGGGCAGGAGGCAGAGATGCCAAGAGCAGGGGAGATGGAGCAGCCAGGCCGCTGTGGAGCTCCATGGTGGGACAGTCCCTGCAGAGACGAGGTGACCGACTTCCATGCTGGTTTCCCCCCTCTCTGGCAGAGACTCTTAAATGCGATCCATTTGTGCTTCCTGACTTGGAATGTTCTGTCTTCCCCGTGGCTGATCTGCAGATCATCTCTGCACTTAGGTGTCAGAGTGGGCTTGGGGCTCTCTGGTGTCAATAATGCCTGATCCTTTGGTGCCAAAGGACTCAGCGGGAGATGATGGGATGGGATATCCCAGGGCTCAAGTTGTGGCGGCACGCTCATTCATTCCTTGCCACCATGCCCCCGGCTCATTCTGTCATCTGTTGCATGTGGTCATAGGCTCAAACTGTTCCATGCCACATTGGGAGAACAGCATTTATTGTGAGCTGTCTGTCTTGCCCAAAAAGGCACCCCTGGAGGTGGGGTGAAGGGGCCACATTGCCGTGTCCCCTTGGGGTACCTGTGTTGTACCAGGGTTAAAAAAAAACAGCTTCTCCAAGTTATTGTCAGTTGGCTTATTCTTGAACTCCTGATACAGATCCCAGAGGTCCCTAGCCATGGGAAGGTGGGGAATGACGTCAGAGGACAACTGAGCTCACCATGGTGTCACACAGCAGACTCATTTCTTTCTGATGCACCGTCTCTTGGCTCAGGCAGCTTTGCTCATTGTATGTGGGATTTCAAGCGGGGGCCAGGTCTCAGCTTAGAGGTCTTTATGTTCAGACCCAAATCCCGTCTCTAATCCACTCTCATAAACCCCACTCGAAAGAAACGAACCTGAAGCGTCAGCCGGTGCACTTACTGTCACTGGGGAAAGGGAAGGTGCTGCTGAGGGGGTCTGGGTCCCACAAGCCCTTTCCCCAAATAGCCCCCACTTCCTTCAGCAGCCAAGGAAGCTGTTCTTTCTTTTCCTGTCCCCAAGATGCCCCAAACCTTGGCTAATTTGCCATTCGATCGCCACTGCTACGTCTCCTCCTGCAGAGCAGCTGGGATCGTAAATCTTCCAGGTCTATTAACCAAGCTTTTAGGCTCATAAATCTTTTGGCCCTTGCTCTTCCATCCTCCACGACATACTCCAAGGGTCTGAGGGCTGAGTTTTCTTCTTTCCTTTAATTCTCCAAAGGCTGTGTCCAGGATGGCTCAGCGATGAGAGCTGGGATTCTGCCCACGCCTGATTTTTCAGATCGAGGATGGGAAAACCCGCGGGAGAAGACGGGCCGGTCGCCTTAGGGAGGACAAGGAGCATCGCGTGGATCCAGGGAGAGGCAAGGAGGCAGGGAGCGGGGAGGACTCTCCTGGTCCTCCTCCACAGGGTCCTGAGCTCCTTCATCACTTGCCATGGAACCTGGCATTCTTGAATTTCCCCCATCATGCCCAGGAGGGTGGCCCTGCTCAGTCTCAGCAGTGGACAGACAGCCCAGCGCCAGCTGTGTCCACGTCTTTAGGGATGGGCCAGCGTCCCCACCCCCAGCTCATTCTTGGATGGATTTGCAATTTGTCTATCACCATGGAAACTCAGAGTTTTGGTACATGAATTGGGGGAAGACTCTTCTTTTTTGGAAAGTCTCTCTTGACAGCCTCAAAGGACGCATGTGACAGCTGCTGTCCTGTGGAGATACCTTGTCTGGGATAGGCCAGAAGACAGGTGGATGGGGCTATGTGGCCTCATATTATTGCACTGGGACCTTGGGGGCCTTCCTCCAGGCCCTGCTTGGCTATTATTCTCTCCGTGACCCCAGACATCTCTCTAGGTTTCCTGGCCCAAACCAAGAGGTATATCTGGCAATCACTAGGAGTCTGAATCCTGGGACTCAGTTTGGGGTCCGTCTGGCAGTGGAGAGACCCCCAGTGCCCCCTCCCTGGCTGAGAGGTAGGGAATGCCCTTCTGTGCCACCCAACATCCGTCTGCCTGGCACAAGGACAGCAGGCAGCCTGTGAGCCCGGGAAGCACTTGTGAGCCATGGCTGCTCTGCTTGGAGGCTCCCAAAGCCCCCAGAAATTATGGGAATTAGAGAGGAAGGGAGATATTTTCAGCAAACATTCTGCCAAGGCAAAGCAGATGGTGGAAAATTTTGCATACTAAAAACACAAGGAAAAAAAAATCTAAATGTAAAGGAACGATGATAAGGCCCTGGGGAGCGCAGAGACATTTCCAAGCCGTCCTCCTGAGCCCACCAGGCTGGCGCGGCTGCAGATGTCAAGCTTGTCCCTGCTGGGACAGAGGATGGCTGCCTCCCTTGTACACAGGGCTGGGTCTGTGGCCTGAAATTTCACCGAGATGCCTCCCATATCCGGGGCTCTGTTTTGGTGGCAGCAGGATGGGGCTGTGGGGTGGTGAGGAGGTACTGACTCGGAGTCAGACACTTGGGTCTGTGTCCTGTCTCTGCCATTTCCCAGCTGTGTGATGTTGGGCCAGTTTCTTTACCTCTCTGTGTGCTCAGTGGGCTCAACAATGAAATGGGGGGGTGAGGATTCCCTTCCTGGATGTCTGAGCATTAAGAGGTAACACTGGCTGTGTCTGGCACGTGGCAGGTGCTTCATAGATGGAAACTATTTGTGTGTGTGTGTGTGTGTGTGTGTGTGTGTGTAGTATCTTGAACTCATAGGCCCATATC